CCTTTAATCATCTCCTAAGAGTGCCCTTAGTTTGCCGCTGAAATGCATTCTGCCTCTGTGTTGGGAAGTAACAACCAGCTCTAAATTGCTGTCCCTAATGGGGGGTTGGAAGGTCCAAAACATCCTCATTAGAACATTTGTCCTGAGTCACACAGATCTTGCCATTGTGGACAGTACATGCCTGTTGGGACCATTATTTCTTCTTGCACAATGACATGAGACCCAAAAACATGTGAACAGGAAGCCAAACCCAAGAGCAAGTTGGGGAGCCTCCAGCTTTCCGTGGAGCTCAGAAATAAAGCAAACTCCGGCAGCACTCAGGGCTCAGGTGTCTGGGGCTGCACAGCTGCGGCTCATCCACTCCTCACACGGTGCGTGGGCAAGTGTGGTGGCGCAGGCAGCACCCAGCATGGGGTAGATCATTATGTTAGCAAACTCAAAAAGACTGAAGAGCGTAGCAGCAATTGCGTAGGAAGCCAGGACTTTAAATGGCTTCAGTGACCAGATGTACAATGGCGAGCACCACATATGGAAGCTCAGTGTAGTCTTCGTACTCTTATATGTGCTAAAGGGAATTCCCCCAAATATTATCTTGCTCTTTCTGTTTTGGTACTGGGACTCAAACACGGGCCCTTGTGCTTGCAGGGCAAGAGGCAAAACCACTGAGCTAAAGCCCCGGCCTTTGCTTGCTCTGTGAAGTAATACACTTCCTCATGGTGCTCAATCATCTCATTCTACAGTATCTATTTCATGATTATTTTGTATAGCTAAGAGGTTAATAGTTCCTTTTGGGAAGTCTTTCTTTTTTTGTTGCTGTTTTATGGCAAAAGGATTTTAGTAAAAATAGAAATTGGTTTTCACCATTTCCAAAATCAAAAGTAATTTGTGAAGTCTGGTGGATGTTGTGATGAGCTATTAAAAGCCTGACAGAATTCAGATTATAACCAAATACTGTATTTCTAATAAATGATAAAACTTTTTCATATTTACAGATGAAAATAGCTTCTTAAATCTGTCTTTCAGTGTGCTAATACTGTTCACCTACCAGAAAGAAATAGTACACAGCTTTGCAAAACAGGCCATAAAGTCTCGGGCTACACCCTTTCCATAATAAATCACATTTCCTCTGAAGTGTTCAGGGTAAGGGCTAGGAAATCTGAGAATTTGCCGTAGAAGATTAAGGTGAGAGGGATAAGAAAACAAAGGTTATCTAGCAATCAGACTTCAAAGATTTTAAAAGTCACAGCTTCCCGTCTGCTAATCAAATTTTCTATTTATCCAAAACCATTAAAATGCTTGCAGTTGTCACTGTTTAAGTCACCCCCTCCCTCTCTAATCAAGCACTGCTCTGGGATATGGGAAGATCTCACTGGTTGCAGAGGAAGGAGGAAAGGGCAGTAGGAAGGCCGTTACTGGCCAGGTAAGAAGCCACCTGTCCTGCTTCAGTCCCTGAGAGGGTCAGGGGAAGTGGAAAAATACCTGCTAAAGAAAGGGCTTTTTTGTTGAGTAAATATTAATGCTTTCTGAGTATATGCTTCTTACAGATAAGTATCTACCACCTCACAGATCCTTCTTTCTAGGCTCTGCCCATTTCTGAAGGCTCAGTGGAGGTAGAAATTACTTGCTTTGAAGGTACCTGTGGCAAGATTGCCTAGACGTGGCCTTCCCGTTGAAAAGTTAATGGGAACACGATTCACCACAGCAGAGACGCAAAAGCCAGCAGGGACCCAAGATTAAAGACAGCAGGAATTCAAGATTAAAGTGTTAAAGCCCCTGAGTGCAGACACTGATGTTTCTTGGGGACATTAGAATATAAGAGGGGGAGCTTCATCTTTATATTTTTCTCAAAATTTCAGAGAGAAAAATCTAGTAATTTTATACTTTTTCTAAAATTTACTTTAAAAATTACTTTTCATTTTTATCCAGTGCTGCAGTCTAACTCACACTGACATCTCCTCCTATTATTATCCCAAAGAACTCTATTTTCTTCTATAAACCTGGACCTCCTCTTGCTTTACGGTATCCTGTTGTAGCTACCCAGTGGCCCAAACTCCAAACTAATTATTATGGCGGCTTCCTTTTCATTTTTCCCTGTATCCAGTCCCCGGTCAAGAATGTCCTACCTTCTAAGGATGTGTGGAGTCTGAGCCTGTTGTTACCTACACAGCTCAAGCCCTCTGTCTGCATTTCTCTCTTGTTCATAACAGTCTCACCACTGTTGCCCCAGCATTGCTACCACCAACCCATACTTCACCTAGGCTCAGTAGCAGAGTGCTTAACTAGCATATGCTGGTTTCGAACCCCAGCACTGCAAAAGTAAATAAATGAAATCAAAATCTTTCTAAAATGTAAATCGCATCTACTCAGCACTTTCTTAGCTCCAAGTCTCTCCTCTGATGAAATCTTCCCAAAAGTGCTGAATTTGAATGTTTAAGTAGATTGTGCTCCAGTGTTTCCATCACTGAGAAGAGTTTGTGACAAACAAACAAAATAGCACAAGTAAACAAACAAAGCTATTAAGGCTGGAAATACAGATCAGTGGTAGAGTGCTTACCTACCCTGTAGAAGATCCTGGGTTCAATACCCCCCAGATTACCCATTGTGCTAAGTGATGTCTCAGTGACTTAAACTGCCCATCCAAGGCTGGCCCATGGGTGAGTTCATTTCACTAGGGTTGAGGGTCCAATTAGCACAAAACACCAATGTACTGACTGGGCCTCCACTAAGCCTGCCGCACCTCTAGATTCAACACTCTCACACCATGTGGGTGGGTTCCTGTTCCCAGCCTGGCTTGGACCACCAGTTCTGTCTGTTCTGTCCTCCAGCCTGGCTCTCCAGTGCTGTCTCTTCTGGAATGTCCTTCCCTATCTCACGCTTATCCTTTAAAACTGAGACAGTCGGGATCCCCTTTGCGAAAAGTTCCTTTGATTTTTCTCAGGAAGAGCTAAGGACTCCGGCCTCAGTGTTGCTATGGTTTTGAACACATGACTATTTTTATAGATATTATACTGTTATGAAAACAATCCATTGTTTTGTCTCTTCAGATAATGGGCTCTACCAGGACATGAGTCTTGTTCATTTTTGTATCATTAATGCTCAACATAGCATGTAATCCATAGTAGATGCTTAATAAAACGAAGAAATTGAATGAGTGCTACAAAATAAAAGTAAACAGAAAAGCCTTAAAATGGATTAAAACACTATCTTTAGACTCTGTCCTCATAATACATATATTGTTTCCTTTTAGTCTTTTCAACAATCTTCTCTTTAGAGTAAGTAATATTGGTCCCATTTTATAAATGTGAAACCTCAGGTTGAAAATCCTAAGGTTCTTGTAGGTAGCCCTGTAACCAGGTAATAAATAGCCAAACCAAGCCTCAAATTAGGATCTTCTCAAATCTGTTTTCTTTCTACTGTGACTCAGTATGCTGCTGATGTCAATGTCAAGATTCTATGGCTGGTCTTTTAATCAAATCAGGACAGAAATTAATTTTAAACTTTGGAATAAAAGCATCTAGGATCCATTCTTGTTCTCAAGTTTAATTATGTATTAGAATTTCTTAGGACCTGCAGACAGTAGAAATATTGTTTAAAGGAAACCTCGAAAACAAGCCAATATGTTTGTTAAATAATGAAGAATAAACTCCACTGAAGTCTGAAGTGAAATTTCTCATTGGGTTCATTTTGGATATTACACTACCAGGTAAAACACTGAGCATTTAACAGATACAACAAATATATAAGTTCAGCTTTTGGGGGATCATATTTATGATCCAAACCAGGCAGGGTGCACACCTGTGATCCCAAATACTTGGCCAGCTGAGGAAGGAAGATCACCAGTTGAAGACCAATCTGGACTACATAGCAAGACCTTGTCTCAAAAAGAAAAGTTCAAGGTAGCTAAATGTGTACATATCATATACTAGTAAATACACATTATGGGTTTCACATTTATTTATATAAAATGACAACTAAGCTCAATAACATGAGAAGACTTTTTTAACCTTATAACCAATTTATATTTCTTAGTTTTCTTACCTGAAATACTACTAAGGAAATAGTTCTCTCTATTTCATAGTATAACAAGGTATAATCGTGGTTTTGCAAACACAAATTATACAATTACCCCAAACAGAACATTTTTTCTTGGCTTGTTTAACTAGCAAATTATAGTTTCTGTGTGTTCATAAGTAGTCTTTTTGTTAGTGTTATTCTCAAGTTTTACATGCACCGTTTGTTGAAGGGTAGTTTCTCAGAGTCATGAGCATCACTGAGAAAAACACAGTGAATTTCAGCATTCTTCACAAAAACAGTTTAATAAGGGCTTTGGGTTTTGCCAAGACTTAAGAACTCAGTGCCCCTGTTACTTTTATATTAAAACCCTTCAGCCATGCACTGAAAACAAACAAACAAACAAAAAACTAAAAGAAATGAACAAGTTCACTGTAGTTGTGTTTTGTGCAGTTTACATACGCCGGTGCAAGTTTCAACTCTAAGAGATGGAATTTATTTCGGAGTGTGAAAAGAAACTTTCAACAATTTAACTGGAATTTTGATACTTCTGAGGGAGAGAAACTGAAGATCAAAGTTGTTGCTAAGTTTCTTGTTGCTTAACAAGTAACAAGGCAGGTGAATAACCAGGACTCATATCTAGGAAGGGGAAGAGAGAGAAAGAGGGAAGAGGAGAGAGAGGGAGAGAGGGAGGGAGGGAGAGAGGGGAGAGAGAGGGAGGAGGAAGGGAACAGAATGCCCTCAAGGCGGCCAATCTAAGTGCCACCCAGGGTGCTAGTTTGTTAAGTGAATTATCAGAAGAAACCTCTTTCCCTCCTGTTATCCTTAGGAGAGACCACACTGGGCAGAGGACTTCAGCCAGAAACACATTTTCCATCCTCTAAGAAGAGGAATGAGGAATCGAATACGTTACATGAAATGCTCCAGGGCAGGAAAGAAAAGTTTGTCTTCTCTTCCTTGTTAAAGTAAAAGTAGAGCATCGTACTTACAAGAGGCGCCTTCCAAATCTTTAGAGAAAGGGCTCGGGGAGCCCGGAGGAGACGGAGGCGCGGAGATAAGGTGGCAGCGGGACTTCCGTCCTCCTCCCGGGGGGCGTCATTGTTCCTTATCTGCCCCGACCTCCGCGCAGCCCAGGGAGC